ACAAACTCCAGCCAGGGGCACAAAGGAGTGTTCTAGTTTGTACACTGGCTAAAAGAGATATGAAGTATCAGCCAGAGAGGACACCTGAGTCTCGGTTAAAAAGAGCAAGGCCGACTTCGCCGTCTCCGGGTGGTAGTGGACAGGATTGATTGGAATGAAGTGTCCTGATGTTGCAAAAATTCACGGAGAGCGTGACATGATAGGTTGCCTTAGTCTTATTACTCCCAGCACACTTAAGCACCCATGCTCAGGAAGAGTAAAGTAGCTTGGTCGTGAATGCTCAGCGAGGGATTTTCCGTCACCAGGAGTGAGGGTATCCTCTTGGGGTAGTTTTTATTTGATTCCGCTATGATGTTAAGGTTGAGGGGGAATTGGGCCTCCATTCCAAGCGAAACACGGAGGTAAACTTCTACTTCACGCAGGTATGCTGTGAGGTTGTGGTACCACCACGGTTCAAGCAGGCCCATCCATGCGACATCAATAGCCGCTGCGTGGCTCTACCACAGTCAAATCAAGAGGATGGCTGCCACTTTGGATTTGCCATTTGGACATTTCAGATCAGTCTTACAGCAACTACCCTTTTTTATAGGGTAGGGTGACAAACGAGCATACAGTCCACCTGATGGTAAGTGGTTGCTGTGGCCCGTAGACATCTACATATATCTTCGATTACGAATCAAAATGTAGATGCGTTGTCACCCGTGAGGACTAAGACAAAATGCCTCGCTTCCAGTAATAAGGGTCTCCGGTTCTCTACACTCAACATACGAAACAGCAGCATTAAGCTACTATTTTACGCTGGTATTCTATGAGAGCGTGGTCCTTCCCCAGTCGAGCCGACCCATTTGTGCTATAACTATACTACTAATAGTATAACTGCAGCATGGCTCTACCACGTAAGACCATTTCATTCATTCGTAAGAAATTCATGTCTTATTAGAATATTCGTTGGTAGCCTGAAGTCATAAATATTGTTTGCTAGTAAAAAAAGGTTGAATTACTCAACAATTAAAATAGAAACATCAGTGACTTAAAAAATTAAATATTTACCTTGACTTCAATTTGATGTAACATAATAGCAACTAATTAAAAAAATATGCTGACTACATATATTCTTATACTTAACCTAAAATTAATTACCCAAATCTTGGACCATTAGAAATAAGAAATACTGGCAACATTCTCCTGTTAAGTAATCTCGAAACATTGACATTCGTGCTTCGAATAACCTTCAAAATTGTGTTGGAATAACAAATTAAAATATAGGTAAATGAGTGTTTATGAGTGAAATAATAATAATAATAAAACGTTTATTTCAGATTTAAAAATCCATACAAATTTGTTAGTAAATTTCTTAAAAACGATGTTAGTAAATTAAATTAAATCAAATTAAGTAACTTACAATTTTAAAAATATTAATTAAGATACTTAAGTGTCCCACCCATATGCTTTTGAGTCCAATGCCCTTGAATGGGACAATCAAGCCTATCTTTAACTACCTTCAGGACGCCGTTTGAGCTCCCCCGCAATCTGCGCTAGCTGGACGATATTTGCTTCCGTATGATGCCATGAAAATCGTCAACACCCGCAATCAGCAAACATGCCAGATGCACAGCAGAACACGGGAAGGCCCATCAACATCCTGAAGGCATTATTATATTGGACGCGAAGTGCATTATAGGCCCTTTGCGTATAGCTATACCACAGGCTGCAGGTGTAAAAAGTTTGGCAGTAAGCCTTGAAAAGAGTAATTTTGACTTCTCTAGTACACCTAGCAAACCTGCGGGCAACCATATTGCATCGAACCGCCAATGCCCTCCGCTCCCTCTCTATATCACAGTTGTCTGTAAGATTCTCTGTAACAATGTGTCCTAAATATTTAAACTGTGACACCCTATTTAATGGCACCCCAAGGAGCTTGACTGGAGGCACAACCTGGGGTTTTTTAGCACCAACTTGAAATACCATTAACTCACTCTTTTTGGTGTTATAGAGGAGACCGTGTTTAGCAGTGTATACTTCACAGACGGCCAACAGCTTACGCAATGCGCTCACCGATGGAGTCAGCAACACCATGTCATCAGCATAGCTAATACTATTAACCATTTGTCCGTCAATGGAACAGCCTATCCTGGTGCTACCGAGTGCACCAATGAGCCCGTCAACGTAGAGACTGAACAGCAAAGGTGAGGATAACCCCCCCTGCCTCACCCCGCATTCCAAAATGTATTCGTCAGATAGCGCACCAGACCATTTGACCTGGTTAACTTGATGGCCATACCAATATTTCAACGTGGTGATTAATTTATTTGGAACAGCTATGTCACGTAATTTTGACCAAAGCAGCTCATAGTCAACCAGGTCAAATGCCTTTGAGATCCAGAAACGCAGCATACACTGGCGTTTGTCTCTGGGTGTAGTATTAAATAAATGATATTGCTTCGGAGTTTTTATTCACTTTAGTATTGTTTTTGCACCATTTAACTACACAGGACGGCATTTTGTAGGCAAATTTACTGCACGACGCCCGGGAAGTACTGAGCGAAAATGAGCATAGTTTGATGCATGTGTGTGAGTGAACGCTTGTGCTTACATAAAGGAGCGGAGTTTTTTGGCTTCACCAATTACAAAGCCCGCGCTGTATCTACCTTTTTTTTACTTCATCTGAGTCAAACACAAGTTAATTATTAAATAAGCTCACAATGATAAACATAATATATGAGATTTACAATCATGAATGAATGGATAATATGCACAATCACAGAATGTCTACAATAACCAAAATATCAATAATTTAATCAAAAACAAGTTAATTAATAAATAAGCTCCTACACACAAGTGCAAAGTGCAACATCCAAAAATAATAATTTTGTTTTGATAATATTTGGTCATCTATCCATTTCCCTGAATTGACACTAAAATTTTTGTCTCTATATTATATGCAATATATTAAGTATTGAATGCAGCTTATAAATAGAATGATTTTAATCCAAAATTATAAAACATATTACATATTAGATTACACAAATATTCCTTATGTAATTTTAAAATTTTTCATATAGAGTACTTTCTTTTTCAGGTTATACATTATCTGATATGCTTTGATGTTTGTGGTTGTTCTTCAGTGGATATAATGTTGTCCTCCTAATGTTGTCCTTTTTGAAGATCCTGCTTGTGGTTTTGCAGCAATAATTTGCGAGGGACCAGCTTGTGATTCCACAAAATAAAATGGGAATACACTTTGTTAGTCTGGAAATAAATAAAAACTGAAATAAATTATAGTATAATAAACATATTATATAAATTTAAATTAACATTATATTCATTGAAATTGCTTTCATAGTAAACCAGTCCCTACTCATGGCACTACATTACCCATCTACCAATACAAAATAAATGAATGGATCTTGTTCATCCGTCTTGGTCTATAATACGCACACTATTACACCTAATATAACAAAATAAGATAGTAAATACAATAACTATGTGAAAAAAAAAGAGGTCTTGTGTTTATCTATTGTTTGAGAACCATTTGATGCATGTATTTCTACTGTATTGTACAAGTTGTGCTTTTAAATTTGATAGGTTTAAGACAAAATGTAATTATTCATGTAATGTAATGCCTGAACTTTCTTAAGGTTTTTTGTTGTTTTAAAAAAAATATTTGATTGTTAAAAATAAAATGCACAGTGTGTTGCACTTTTAATAATGTACGTAAGGGCTTGTGCTAACTTTACAGACTTCAATCCTTTGGATGCCTTGGTCTATCCAATTATTATAAATTGGTTCAAACTATGGTATGTATTCTGTCCATCCATGTTAGATCCAGATGATGGTCATATGAACAATCATCATCATCTTCATTACAGTCTATCAAAGTCCACTCCTGAATATAGGAAACCCCATATAAAATATCTGAGTACCTAATCCTTAAAGAAAACTATATACATAGGTACCATATACATTATACATTTTACTTACATCACGTGGGACTGCAGTTCTTAAGAGCTTTTTCTTGGTTGCATCATTAAATTAACTCGTTATGTACCAATCATGAAGAACAATAATTTATACGTCTGTCGGCGCCAGCGCCACCATATTATAGACGTGAGACCGATTCCGATATATCAAAACGTAACTAATAACGTTATGTTATCAAATATCATATCATATCGATAAACCTAAGTACAAAACCCTAATTACATATCCAACCAAAATCATATACCTAACCAACGTACGAAAACGAAACCGAAACGCATAACGCAAACTGTGGGACGATATCCCAAAACTGAAAACGGCCCACCAACCGTTTAAATAAGCATAGAAAGAGATGAAGCGAATATGGATATCGTTGTGATGTTTTGTTAGTTATCACACAACGGTGCACATTGCGAAATATAATATATAGCTAAAGCAATAAGGTCGAATTTTAAATAGTTAATATTGCCTAAATTTTAAGTTTGTGTAGTTGAGAGTTATCAAATTTCAAATCATCTTTAGCTCATTAGGCACAAGGCTTAGATTTGTAAAACGTAAAACGCAAACACCGGAACGATATGCCAACACGGCTCACGAACTAAACCGATGCAATGTCCTTCATTGATATTCATTGTTTCTTGTTCTTGCGACGGTATCATAAATTCGTATAGAAAGAGAAGATTTCTATTTTGGTAATTTTAGTTTCACACGGTACGCAATGCGAACCAGCGGCTAGTGCAAATAAGGTAAATTTGCGGTTAATAGAGTTGAATTTTGAAATTGAATTGAAAATTCGAATTTAAAACTTTTCTGCTAGTTCTAAGCCTAGTTAAGCATAAAGGAAAATCGCCAACTTAAATAATTGTTAATGAATAAACTAAAATAATAAACTAAATATATTAAAGAAAAACTAAACTAATTTTCTATAAATGTATATAAATTATGTTTAGTTCTTAAGAATACACTTTAATTATAGACTTTGAAATCAGACTCTGATCCTACGTCTCAATTTGAAAAAAAAAATGGGTAACAAAAGTATAGAAATAAATAAGGATAGAATGAACGTAATTTTATTCACTACCTGATTATTATCCCGTGGGCGTCGTCGTCGTCGTCTTGAGAGTCAATCAATGTTTGTTCAATAAAATATAATTACCTATACAACATAGTAGATGGCGCTATTACTGAAGTGCGCTCAGCTCAATCTTACTAAAATAAATACGTGTACCTTGGTAACTGTCTTAAATAAAATTAATATAAGCATTTCAATCAAAGCTCTCCCGTAAAAAGTTTCACTTCAAAAAACTGTGGTTGCCAACCCGCTTGCCAAGCGTGGCAACTATGCCAAATATCCCACCTATAATACAATCTATGAGGAGGCCTATGTATTCAGCAGTGTACTTTAATAAGCTGTAACATACATGTTTATTAAATATTACATCTAAGATAACAATAACATTAGAACCTCTGACTTCTAATCTAGAATAATCTATGTAATTCATAAAATACATGTTGCACTGGTAGTACAGTTTGCGGTTATGGTTCGGTTGTCGTTTGCCCATTCTGTAGCAAACCATTACTATTGATATCGATATCTGAAAACGGTTTTCAATAACGATATGAAAACTAGATATCGGTTATGTAACCGTTGCAGATAAAAACTAAAAACGCCCATACTTAGTAGACAGAGAATCCTGTCTACGTGCCCTAAAGAATTTCATAGTAGTCTGTGGGTATGCGTAGTAAGGATGTTCGATGATCATCGATGTTAGAAATTAAAATATCGATGTTTTAACATCGATGTTACCACACGTTAAACATCGAAACATCGATGTTGCCACATGTCAAACATCGATGTCAATGAACGTAAAATCGATTAATAAGAATCTGTGAAAAATGCGAACCCGCGAAATCAATATCAACTAAATATTTCATCTCCCACTAAAGATTTAAAATTTTGAATTCCTAAATGCATCGATCACCTAAAAAAATATCATTATGTTGTGTCAAACACCCTGTCAAGTGTGAACTGTAATGTCACAGTTGTCACTGCTTTCGCTTTGTCATTGTGGTGTCGTTATCGATTGTCGCCTAATAACTATTCTATATAAATTGATATTCAAATTAACTCTTTTTTCCATTGCTGTCTATACACACATAATTTTGAAACAATATGTATCTACACAACTTAATTATATTTAGCTGTTTTTTTGAGCTTGGGATAACAAGTTTATTGTTTGCTTGAAGTTTCTGAAAACAAACTACTTGGCGATCGTAAGCATAGACAATTTCACTGTATAGTGCATTCAACTGTGCATTTAATAAATGACTGTGGATACTTACTGCTCGGGCTGCCTGATTAAAAATTGTGTGAACAAAGGTGACGAAAAGGTCTATTATTTTGTTTTTGTTATGTTTGTTAATTTTTCCTCTATAATCATTTTTTGTTTCGCGTTAGGAGTAGTTAATATAAAACCTACGTCTAAATTGTAAATTAGGATAGTAATTTTTTTAATACCAGATTTATAATTATATAGGGACATTTAAATATCAAAATAATAATATTCATCATTATTGGCAAAAACTATAAGATATTAACTAAACATTTATTAAGTTTTTCCCATTTTTAAAATTACTGTTTCACACTAAACGTTTTATTAATTTCTTTAATTTCATTAATAATAAACCATAAACGACACTACTTATTTTGTGTTCATCTAATTTTAACCTATTAAATAGGTACATGTGCTATAACATCGATAATGGCCAACATCGATGTTTTGAGTAGGATAAACATCGAACATCGATGTTAAGCTATCGATATCATCATCGATGTTTCTGTAAAATCGATCATCCCTAATGCGTAGTATCCTCATCGTAGACAGAGAAACCTATAGACTAATGATCGGCGTGGCCTCGAGTGAGAAAGGACGATAACGAATTTTGGGGTTATACAACAATCTTTATGACGTTTAAACATATTTAGATAAAAATTTTAATTGTTCTAAGAACTGAACTGAACAAGATTCAGCAATCTTAAGCTCACAAAACACTTTTTTCTCACTTAAACCAACTTGTAAACTCCTTAAATCGCTAAGCTGTTAAAGTTGTTTAGCAAACTGTAGAGTTTGCTAAATAAAAAAACCGGCACGGAGAAAGGGACAAACAACCACACCGCTCTATCTCATTTCTATGCAAGGCGTCAATTTGTCTTTAGGTTTCTCTGTCTACGCACTGCACAGACTACTATGAGGATCGGATCGAATTTGGCATATTATGTCAATTTTAGTTTCCAAGACGACCGTTAGGGGTGCTTCAAATTGACACAGACGTTTTGTATAGTTTTTTTAGTTTATTAGTTTAAACTATACAAAACGTCTGTGTCAATTTGAAGCACCCCTAACGGTCGTCTTGGAAACTAAAATTGACATAATATGCCAAATTCGATCCGATCCTCATAGTATAGTGCGCGCAAGATAACTCTGCGCGCGACTGATGGCGTGCTTAATGTTGCCAGCTTAACTAATATTTTTTCCTTCGTTTAATCTTATTACTGGAATTGTATAATTATATCAAATTACATAACTTTTTATCTTTACACAACACCATAAGAGGATATTTGTAAACTGTTAGTTGTAGGATAATTGAAATTTGCTTTATAACCGGGACTGTAGCCAGCAAGTATGCTGACCCTACGGTTATGCCAGTTAAAGGTTAAACATAGTTACAGCCTATATAATATTATTATTAACCCTTCAGTCCCCATAAAAATCCCATGCAGTTGCATGTGTCTGTCAAATCCCGAGTGTGACGCATGTGACTGCACCCACTCAGAGCACCTTAAACCATTAAAACTTATATTTAGAGACTACTTTTCTATAAAGAAGTTTGGCATTATAAAATCTATACAATATTCTCTATTCTGTGGTCTAATAAGTTAGGTTTTACTTCATTACAAAAAGACTATTGTATTGTGATAACAAAAGCGGATACATGAAAAATGGATATCGGTAGCGTGAAAATCACTATTATATTACTCGATGTTATTTACTTAAATAGATAAATTATATTCACACAAAAACTCATAACAATTTTATAATAAAATACTATAGTACTACTAATAGTATACTATACCAATAAAACAAAAAAAAAATCCAAAAATTAACACATCAACATGCAAATGAAAATGCCGTATGTAATGAAAGTAGGTTATAAATAAATATCCACAGACTAACTGACTGTTCATTGCACTAGAGGATAGAAAATTTGATATTGATTCTATATTGCCAAACTTCTTCATAGAAAAGTAGTCTCTAGTTATAAGTTTTAATGGTTCAAAGTGCTGTGGGTGTGCATGATTGAATCCGACCGCTTGGAAGTTTGACGGAATAGCTCCGCAGTCGAATTCGACCGCTTAGAGATTGAGGGGTTAAACACAGACCTTTTACTTCTAAAATGGCTATGGATCAAATAGTTGTGAATGGTGTAATATATCATAGAAGTTAGAAGTACAGAAATATTGCATGTAATTGTATAAAAAATATTACCTTAATCTAGCCCCACCATTATTGTCTAGTGTTCCAAAATCATATTTACATTATTTATTTGAATTACTTGATTAAAACTTATTTGCAGCTAAGTTTTATGCTGTGGTGGTGGCATCACACAGGTTTAGATGCATATAGGTTGAAAATAAAGTGTGCCTTGTATACACAGTATATAGAAATAAAACCATTATTGGCTGAAAGTTTAAATATTACCATACAACCTTTTTAGTTAGATCTCAGGAATTTGTGAATAAATAAAAATACCAAATATGTGACTATGTCAACGTTACTTAGAGTATACAAAAGTTTGTTTGTATTGTTATCTGTTTTTTTAATTATAACTAAATTTATTTAAAAAAAAAACAAGTGGAATGATCAACAACAAATATTAATAACAGAATGTTTTTAACAAACAACTATAAACAACAATAACTGTGAATTACATTTTATATACACTAGTTTGTCAGGCAGATGTTGTTCTGCCCATTTAGACAACCTTTTGTCATGACCTATTAAAAATCCTTAAAATCGCAAAAAAAATTGTGGGTCACTCATGAGCAATAGAATAGAATAGAAAGAATAGAATACAAATTATATTTATTTTCTCATCACAAACAGGTACAGTATTATTGATGACAAACATGTTAAAATATAAACATATAAAGTGTAAGTAAAAATAAAAACTATGCTATCTCTCAAGTTGTACCAAACTGTACACGGTGTGCAAATTTGATTAAAATCAGTTATGTAGCTTAGGAGTCCATCATGGACAAACAACGTGATACATAATTTATATATATTAAGATTACAATTTATATTAGTATACACAACATTACAAGTCCAGTTGATACTTAAGTAGAGCACTTTAGTGTGTTTTAAAATTTTCTATTGTGCAGTGTCTAGCTCCAATTTCACAGCTGACGTTAAGTTTTGATTGCACTCTACTGATTTAAAATGAAATTGTTTATACACTTACAGGTTACTTGATCTCAAATCTCAAGATTACACCAAGTTTCATGAAATATCAAAAAACTCAAATGCTGAAAGTATTTTAACTGATCTTGCAGCAACAGAGCAAACACTTCTAGATAAACTAGAAACAAAAAATGTTGATTTTGGTTACGACAAAGAGAGTGGACATAAGCAGTTACTAGATGCTGTTAATGATGCAATAGAAGGCTTAGAAGAAATTAAGAAACATTCTAACTTAGATATAAACAAGTTTAAAGAGTATAAAAAGATTAAAACAAATCTCAATGTATTGGAAAAAGTGAAATTAGACTTAGTGAGTTTAAAGTCCGACTTTGACTCTAAATTTCCAAAATTTAGTGAGAGATTACTGAAAGAGGCCTCTGAAAAGATTGCAATGATGATGAACAATGATGATGATGAGGATGATGATGCAGATGATTGATTTTGATTTGAAAATTTTACTTTTATTTATTTATTTACCTATTTCACTAGTACATTTGCATCCCAATTACTTGTATCCCAATAAAATTTGTTGATGTTCTGCAATAAATCATTTTATTTTTCTCTTCACAAAGGTATATAATTTCACATTATTTCTTAAATAATATGGTTGTAGATAATTTTGACCTTTGTGAGAGACTGGTGTCCATACTAGGGTAATCCCTGTGTTATAGATCACCAGGCCCTTACCCTAATGGATAGCACAATTACATTTTCAAATATACTACAAGAGAAATACAAGAATAAGAAATATTTCAACGAGGAAAGATTCTATATGTTTTTTAAGTTATTTCTATATGTGTAATATTGTGTACGTGTGTGTGTGTGTGTGTGCTCATTTGTGTAGGGTTATGTGTTTTTAGGATAATACTCTCAGTAAATTTTCGGCAGCCAATATAATCGACATTTAGCAACCACTTCTGTAATTTTTGTTTACATGCATGTTTTAGTAGAGAGTAAATTGACAAAAGTTTATTTAATTTATTGTAAAGGTAACCTCCCAGGAAGTAAAAATGTTTATGCGAAAATTTTGTCTTTAGAAGCTTTCTGGGACAAACTACATATTTCCTTCTTTTGTCATTATTATAGGAGGACTCATACTGTATAAAAGAATGTTGTAGCAGCGTAGTGTGCAATATAAACAATTTACGAACAGATAAGATATTACAATGTTGATAAAGGTCAGTTGTAGGACAACAGAATGGAAGAGAATCGCTAACTTTTAATAGTGCCCTCTGAGCCCTTTCTAATTTAATATGGATGTTTTAGTTGGCCCTCCCCAGATGGTAATGCAATATGTCAACAGTGATTGGCACAGTGCAAAATATACCATTTTTCTTACATTAAAATCTGCAATACGACGTAGTAAGTAGACTTTGTACTTAAGAGGCCAATAAGAAGGTGAAAGCTTAGGGTGTTATCTATCATTATGGCAAATTATTTTATGCAATTTGTTCTAGACAGGGTAGGACTCCTGTCCTACCCTGGCAAGGGCTTTCAATTTGGGAGCAGCAGTGAGCTTTTGGGAGTAATGTGGAAGTATTTTAACTCAGATACATTGATGTTTTGGGTAGTAACATTAATGCTAGTAAAAAGCTATAAATATGAAATTAACAAGAAGAAGCTTGAATATTACATGATTTAATATTGAGATTTTTTTTATAGAATAAGAGTGAACTGAGCACACAGTTCACTGGCTGATGAGTGGATGCTGTGGCTCATAGACATCTACATCTGTCTTCGATTAAGAATCAAAATGTCAGTGCATTGTTACCCTCGAGCACTAAAATGGAATGCCTTGTTTCCAGTGAAAAAAGGGTCTCCGTTTCTCTAACACCGTATGGAACACAGCAGCATTAAGCTACTATTTTACGCTGGTATTCTGTGACTATCATGTAAGAAATAGTTTCGCTCAACATGTAGTATTTGTGTAATTATGTTAAAGAAATAATTAAATAATATTAACACTCACGAATGGTACCAGTTGAATCTGTGTTCTATAATGACAATACATTTCCATATAAATAGATTTGATGTTTATATAGATTAGACTTTACTTTGTGACAGAAATGTTTTATCACATCATCATTTACATATGTTATGTCATAATTAGTACAACTAACAAAATGTGTTATGGATGCAACGTATAATAACATCCATACATATATACATTTTCATGTCGTATTATGTAGATGAATAATAATAATATCACATCATTATTCGTAATTTTTCTCCGATCCCTAGTCGCTATAATCGTTTTGGAATGGATCTACCGCAGTCGAATTATCAGAATCCTCATTGGGCTTGTCTTCATTTTAAACTTGTCTTCGTTTTTCATTTTAAAACAAACAAAATAGCCAGTATGATACCATTTTCATAGAGCAATAGTTTACAATACAGTACATAACAAAGGAACAATAAAACAATTACAAAAATAATACTTATGATGCTTTTGTGTTCCGACAAAGTTTACTGCAAATCTAAGCTTAAACGCGCATGCACCGCACTCGTGACACGGCCAGACTAAATGTCACAGAACACTATTACTCCTATCAGAGAAGAACGACAACTTCATACAAAATTTAAGAAATGTGATATTTACTACTTTTCTACGAAGAAGTTTGGCATTATAAAATCTATACAATATTCTCTATTCTGTGGTCTAAAAAGTCAGGTTTTACTACATTACAAAAAGACTATTGTATTTTGATAACCAAAAACGGATACGTGACAAATGGAGTCGACAGCGTGAAGATCGCTATTATATTACTCGATGTTATTTACTTAAAAAGATAAATTATATTCACACAAAAACTCATAACAATTTTATAATAAAATACTATAGTACTACTAATAATATACTATACTAATAAAACAAAAAAAAAATCCAAAAATTAACACAACAACATCCAAATGAAAATGGCGTATGTAATGACAGTAGGTTATAAATAAATATCCACAGACTAACTGACTGTTTATTGCACTAGAGGATAGAAAATTTGATATTGATTCTATATTGCCAAACTTCTTCATACAAAAGTAGTCTCTAGTTATAAGTGTTAATGGTTAAAAGTGCTGTGGGTCGAATTCGTTATGCCGACCTCCACCGAAACTTAGAGCTACCAACAATCCAGCAGTTCCTTAAATCACTCTCTGAGAGATTTTTAAAGCCTCAGAGTCCCACCCAAATCATCTCATTCGTGAGACAGCTGCCTAAGCAGCCCCTCTCCACACTCGCTATAGTGTGCGCAGATCGAGAAACTCTCTCTCGGACCCCCTCAACAAGCTTTCGGCTGACCTGAACTGCCTACTGGCGGCTCAGGCTGAGCCTACTTAACACATCCCTTAATCTGCCTTAGTTAGGCACACTTCTAAGCGGCTTTTCGCCACTTGCGCCCTCCTTTCTGCCAAGGAGGGTCGCGTCAGTCTACGGCTTAAAGATCTCTCGTCAGATCTGTAAGCCCAACACAAAAGGTGGAGTTTAGTGGGTAAAAGTCTCCACATAACCACGCAGCCGGCTGCGTGGTATGCTATGAGCATTCTCCACCTCCCTCCCCCGTTACCGGAGGGTTGCCCTTAATTGCTTCGGGCAACAAAAAAAAAATAAAACAGGCCCGGTCCACTCTATAATTATGGACAGTATGAAATACCTACGTGGGCTGAATTTTATTATTGCCATTTGTCACATAAATGTCTTGTTTCATAATTAGTAAGATTTTGCTAAAGATAAATTACACTCTGAAATTTTGAATATAGAAATCATAATACATAGGAAGATAACTATGCCTGTCGTATTTTTCTACGTTATAATATTAACATATCCTTGACAGTAAAAGAAAACTAAATGTTTTCTTTTTGTTTTGGTTTTCAATGAGTAGAAAATTATATTTTTTCTGGTAGCACCAAAACATCTGTATGAGTCGTAGACAGAGAATCCTATCTCTGTCTACGGTAAGAGTTAAGCATGGGCGTTTTCAGTTTTTATCTGCAACGGTTACATAACCGATATCTAGTTTTCATATCCCTATTGAAAACCGTTTTCGGATATCGATATCAATAGTCTTGGTTTGCTACTGAATGTGCAAACGACAACCGAACCATAACCGCAAACTGTACTACCAGTGCAACATGTATTTATGAATTACGTAGATTATTCTAGATTATAATTCAGAGGTTCTAACGTTATTGTTATCTTAGATGAAATATTTAAATATGTATGTTAATATATAGTTTTTGTATATTCAATGTTATGCAGTAATAAATTACACCATCACTGTTACAGCTTATTAAAATACACTGCTGAACACATAGACCTTCTCATAGATTGTATCATAGGTGGGATATTTGCCATAGTTGCCACGCTTTGCAAGCAGGTTGGCAACCTCAGTTTTGAAGTGAAACTTTTTACGGAAGGGCTTTGATTGAAATGTTGATCCGCAACATTTTTGTATGACGAAAAGTGGTGGGTGTTAACACTACGTACGTACCGGGCATTCGGTCGATCATTCAAGTCGCAAACGCAGGGCATTACAAACCATAAAGTATATAGTAATACAATTACAATATTACAACGGTCCTGTGTTCAAATACTAATCTTATATTAATTTTATTTAAGACAGTTACCAAGGTACACGTATTTATTTTAGTAAGATTGAGCTGAGTGCACTTCAGTAATAGCGCCATCTACTATGTTGTATAGGTAAAGATATTTTATGGAACAAACATTCATTGACTCCCAAGGTTGTATGTAGGATAGATGCTAGATGGCATAAACCTAAAAAAAATTGCTGCCCATCTCCTGATTAGTTTCCTTATGTCGCCTTTTATGACACCCACGGGATGATAATCGGGTAGTGAATAAAATTACGTTCATTCTATCCTTATTTATTTCCATAATTTTGCTACCCGTTTTTTTCAAATTGTGACGTAAGATCAGAGTCTGATTTCAAAGTCTATAATTAAAGTGTATTCTTAAGAAGTAAACATAATTTATATACATTTATAGAAAATTATTTTAGTTAGTTTATTTATTAACAATTATTTAAGTTGGCGATTTTCCTTTATGCTTAACTAGACTTAGAACTAGCAGAAAAGTTTTAAATTCGAATTTTCAATTCAATTTGAAAATTCTTCTCTATTAATCGCAGGTTTACCTGATTTACACTAGCCGCTGATTCGGCTCCAGTGGAAGAAGTCGTCGGAATTGTCTTTTATATCGAAGTGAGACCATATTTCACTAGCCTTACGCGACATTTTGAAAGTCTTTATTCAAAAATGATTAAAAGTGTAAATCAACTTAAACTATACTATGCTATATTATATTTACACTTTACACATAAGTGTCTAAATTACAACTACCTAATGCACAAAATACACACAAATATTGCAAATAAATGCACAAACGCAACGTCATGGATGTTATTAGGTATCTTAGCGAATGGC